CGAGCTCCAAGTCCACTGCCTTGTCTAATCAAAACAAAACAATAACCACTAAACAACTAAGATATGGGATCGAGAAAAACTTCTCAAAAGAAACGAGGATCAGTTCCTCAACCGGCAATAATCTCAATCCCAGCGGTCACTACTGAACAATGAACGCTTGGCTCACTCGACTCTTCCGACAAACAGTGTCGGCCGTCACGTCAGCTCTCGATTCAAGCAGCTAACCGTGTCGGCAGTCTTAAATGAGCTTCTAAAGATACGATGAACGAACATCAAAAGTGAAGGTGACCCTGCACCCCACAATGTGTTTGTTCCGGACTCGACTATCCTCCTTAAAAGATTTATGCAACCCTTTTAAGGTGGAAAGAAACACTCCTTATCATGAAGCATATCACTCCATCTTCTTTATCGAACCGATTGGTGTTGACTTCTGCTCCCGCACGTTCGTCTTGATGCCGAGGGTGAATAATTGTTGTCGTCCTCGAGGGCAGATTATTCATGAAAGTGGCGATAGGAAATTGTGCCCTCGAGTGTTCGTGATAATTTAGCAATGACATCCAAACGGAACTCAAATACTTTGCAAGCGAAAAGAGATAAGCAGAAACAAAAGATGCTTAATCTCACTTGCAATCGGGTTCTTCAAAACAAGGCCAAAACCCAGCGAAACAAAGATGGGCTTTGAATACGACTATACCCCAAACAAACGAGAAAAGGACTGGGCCGATTGCAAACCTCCGGTGTCTATTGCTTTCCCACAAACTGCAACGTTACTCGGTCTCTTGAACTTTCTGCATCGAGTTAGAGGTATCACAAAACAATTTCTTTTTAAAAGACAAAGATCAATAAAAATGACGATGCTCAATTCTATCTGAAACTCCACGCCTGGAAGGGAAAGATCAAGCGAAATTATCAAAACACGAAAATTGGATAACGAAGAAAGCTTCAAGCATAATTCAAAATCGTTGGCCATACAAAAGGGGAGTAAGCAACGATTGCAAAAGTCCATAAGAAGACAAAATTCAAAAATGGAGCAAAGTTGCCTTGCATCCACTAGTCCACAATTCACCACCTCCTTCATCGGTTCAAGCTGCTCCCGGATATCCACGATGAATCCAAGAAAAACAATCAACGCATAGAACGAGTATACGAACAATTATATACCCAACCAATGGATTTTTAAATCCCACCAATGAAAAAGGATGAACGACTTTAAACGGGAAAAGTCTCAGCCATTATACCGAAATTATCAACCAATACTTCTGAAGAAAGAACTTAACTCTATACCACTAGAGTTCAAGTTCA